AGAAAAATCAGGATGGCCTCAGACTTCTCTACAGCAGTGTTCAGTACCAGAAGTTGTAAAGTAACATCTACATGTTTAAAAGGACCAAGAAGAGAAAAATAAAAAAAAAAAAAAAAAGATGCGACCTGTGTGGGTCCAAACTAACAATCATGAAAATACTCAGAGACTATTTCCCTTACAAACACTTCTTTAGAAAATTATGAAAGAACGTCAGCTAACCAAGAGGCAATATAGAGAAACTATATCAAAAGGATTCAAGTGAACGTTGACTATAATAACCATAGAAATTAAACTATAATAAACATGGGGATAAGCATGAGAGAAGAGAATAAGCATTATTAAATGTCTGCACAATATAAAAAATTATTTAAAATTTAACTGGAAGGGAAAGGTAGAAACAAAACATAAGAGATGAAGTATGTATAATGATTACCTCAACTGAAATATCTAGGGGATAAACATGTTATTTGGAACAAATAAATTAACTTAAACATAAATATGTATAACAAATAAAACAAAAAATATAAATATCCAAAATATATGTATCATTGACAAAAATCAACCAATAAAGGACATGGAAAAGAAGGAAGAGGAAGAGATTAATTTTATCATTACTCATAATAGAGAACAAATAAATACTTTCTAAATAAAACTTCATAAGAATTTAACACTTTAAAGTGTTAAAGAGGGAAGATATCACTTTGAAGACTAAGGTATACTTGACCCAAGCCATGGTATTTTTCAATAGCCTCATACACATGTGAAAGCTGGACAATGGATAAAGAAGACCAAAGAAGAGTTGATGCTTTTGAATTGTGGTGTTAGTGAAGCATGCTGAAAATACCATGGACTTCCAAAAGAACTAACAAACCTGTTCTGGAAGAATTGCATCCAGAATGTTCCTTAGAAGCAAGAATGGCCAGACTTCGTCCCACCTACTTGGTCATGTTGTCAGAATGGACCAATCCCTGGAGAAGGATATCATGCTTGGATAAGTAGAGGGTCAGTGAAAAAGGGGAAGTCCCTCAATGAGATGGATTGACACAGTGGCTAGAACGATGGGCTCAAGCATAGCAAGGATTGTGAAGATGGCACTTTGAAGTGTTTTGTTCTGTTGTATGAAGGGTCACTATGAATCAGTGCTAACTTGTTGACACTTAACAACCAAAAATTAAAAAAAAAAACACACTAATAAATATATTCTAAATAAAGAAATAGAGGGCCAGGGGTATTAAATAAAGTTGTAATTATAAAGGTACCAACTGAAAGGATGCTGTAGTGCACTGCCTACAATTAAAAGGCATCAACTCTTCTTCAGTCTTCCTTATTCATGCGTATGAGACAACTGAAAATACCATGCCTTGGGTTAGACATACCTTAATCTTCAAAGTGGCATTCTTGTTCCTCAAGAATTCAAAGAGGACTTTCGCAGCAGATTTGCTCAGTGCAACATGACATCTGATTTCTTGACTGCTGCTTCCATGAATGTTGATTGTGGATCCAAGTGAAATGAAATCCCTAGAATTTCAATCTTTTCTACAACTATCATGATGTTGCTTATTGGTCCAGTTGCAAGAATTTTTGCTTTCTTTATGTTGAGGTGTAATATACACTAGTCTTTGATCTTCATCGGTAAGTGCTTTTTGTCTTCTTTGCTTTCAGCAAGCAAGATTCTCTCATCTGCATATCACAGGTTGTTAATGAGTCTTCCTCCAATCCTGATGCTGCATTCTTCTTCATATAGTCCAACTTCTCTGATTATTTGCTCAGCGTATAGATTGAATAATTATGGTGAAAAGATACAACACTGACACAGTCTTCCTGATTTTAAACCATGTAGTATCCCCTTGTTCTGTTTGAACAGCTGCCTCTTCCTCTATGTATAGATTTCTCATGAGCACAATAATTCCCATTGAATGGAATTCCTATTCTCAATGTTGTCCATAATTTGTTATGATCCACAGAGTCAATGCCTTTGCATAGTCAATAAAGCGCAGGTAAATATCTTTCTGGTATTCTTTGCCTTCAGCCAAGATCCATCTGACATTATTAGGACATCCCTCATTCCATGTCCTCTTCTGAATCCAGCCTGAATTTCTGGAAGTTCCCTGTTAGTATACTGCTGCATTTGCTTTTTAATTATCTTTAGCAAAATTTTACTTCTTCGTGATTTTAATGATATTGTTTGATAATTTCCATGTTCTGTTGGATTACCCTTCTTTGGGATGGGAGCAAATATGGATCTCTTCCAGTCAGTTGTCCAGGTAGCTGTCTTCAACCACTCATCTATCAGTTTGCCATCCTGTAGTGGTTTGTGTATTGTTGTGAGGTTGGAAGCTATGCCACAATGTTTCAAGTACCAGCAGGGTCACCCCCAGTGGACAGGTTTTGGCAAAGCTTCCAGACTAAGGGAGACTGGGAAGAAGTATGGGGCCATCCACTGTGGGAAAAAAAATGTCCACTGAAAACCTTATGAATAGAATGCTATTGGGCCTCAGTGAAAAAGAGAGCATATGACCATAGAACATCAAATGACCACACAGCCAGCCAAAGCTATTCTTTATGAGCTAGGTTTTTGTCAGACATGCTAAGACACAATGTCTGGTGGGACCAAGAGAAATGCATCCTAAGATGGAACTGGGCATTTAAGATAGGGCATAAACAAAGCTAGAAGTCACAATATGTTGCATAAGCAGATGGTTCAACTCCTACTCCCTTGCCATCAACCATTGTCAACCTCAACTCACACTTATGGCCCATGGCAAGTCCCTCAAGTGCTGATAAAGTGAAAGAAACTACAGCTTTGTTCACAAATGGGTTGTCTTAATATGTGGTTATAAGCCAAAAGTAGATGGCCATTGCCCTGTAGTCCCACTCATGAATGCCCTTGAAAAGATCAATGAGAAGAAATTCTCTCAATGGCCAGAACTTAGGGCAGTATCCCATATCATCCGCTTTGTGTAGAAAGAGAAGTATCCCAAGGGAAACTTCTTGACTACATGGCAATGGCTTAGCTGTATTGGTTAAAGTGAAAGAATAAATATTAGACAAATAGGAACAAAGAATTCTGGGGAGAAAGAATGTGGCTAGATCCATGGGAGTGGGCATGAAGTGGGGAGGTCTTTGAATCTCTATTAATGCACAAGAGCACCTCCCTCAGAGAAGGCACTAAATAGCCTAGTAGACAGAATGAATCATCCACTTGACATCAACTAACCTCTGTCATTCGTCAACTCTGTGGTGGAAAATGGGCCTTGGATACATCAGTCACAACTATAAACTGGAGGGACAAGAGTGTCTCATCCTGCATAATCACTAGCTACATCAAATGAATTAGTCCATGTGCACAGCAAAGCTTCAATAACTATTAACTATAATTATTCTTCCTATCCTTATTACCTGGAGTATAAATTACTAAAAAGCAATATGTAACTGAATTCAAAACTTGAAACATGTTTATAACTTTTCTTATAAGATATGATAAATTCCATTCTTCAGAACTTTTTTACAGAAATAGAAATGTGCAAAATATATCTATGATGTTCTCATCAATATCACTTATATTCCTGAAAGATTAAATACAATACAATATCAACTTATTATTCATTGGTTAAATGTATTATTACATGTGTAAATAATATGATAACTTGTAGCTAATGAAAGTCAGCTTCTTGTAAGATATTTAAGAATATATGTTAACTGGAAAGAGTAAGTGTTATTAACCAAAATTATGACTTTGTTTCAGTATATGCTTATATTAGAGAAAAAAAAGTGATAAAAATATAAAATCATGGGGAATCACAGTGAAACCTGTGAGAGTACTCACTTGATAGAGCTGCGATGTTTTCCTGGGTCTCACAACTTTTTTTTCCTTTTGACAAGGTGCAGTCACTACTTTTCTATCACTCTCTATTTAGTGGAAAATATTTGAATTTTCCTTCTCTGACAGGTTTCTACCTAATAGAGTTTTCAGCTTTCACAGATTTTACTTATTATATCAAGTAACAAAATGTACCATCTAAAGGAATATATAGAGAGAATTCTGTCACAAAACTCTGCAAACTCAGAAAATGGCAAAATGAAGCCATCACTCAATTCAGAAAGGACATTAGTTGAAAATTACAATACCTGTGAAGACACCACTGGAATAGATTGTTGAGATGACTGCTCAGAAGTCATCATGACATTATACTCCACAACTTCTCCCCTTGTAACATTATCTGCTGGCTTCTCCCAGGATACGTTGAGAGAGTGTGATGAGAGAGGGAAGACTGAAGGAGGGTTCATGAATACAGGCACTGTCAATGGCAAAAACAAAATAATGAATGCTGTACTCAGAAGGCTTAAGACTGAATTCACAAGTTTATTCTTTTTTCTGAAATACCCTTTTGCTTATAAAATGTTCTGATTGTTAAAAATCAGTGAATATACTAGCATCTCTAAAAGGTATTCACCTTTTCATGTTAACTGCAAGGATGTTCTCCATCTTCATATTACCAGCAAAGGTATTATCCATTTATAAAATAAAAATCCTATGGTAAATTGCTGATGTTCATGAAAGTAATTAGGGGATAATTGAGCTGGAAACTACAGGTCTTATGTAGTATTTGAAAGAACTCACAAAAACAGTACATCTCAGTCCACAAAATTCAGAACAGTGCCTAGTGATATAACAGGTTTCTTGTGTAAAGGAAAATTCCAAGGTAATATTGGTACTGTTCAGGAACAGGTAAATCTGAATTGTTTCAAACAATCCCAAAGAAAAATTTTTAAGTTTTTTTATAAATCTTGATTGTAATGTTCAGAGTACATACACACATATATTCCTCTCTGCCATCCTTGAGATCTTAATGTGGATTTTAAATGTGCTAACAAAAGGTGTATTATCAAAGGACCTCATCACACTTCCATTAGGCAGTGACCCATAAGATTATGAGGGTCCAGTATTACAATTTCACCTATTACTTTTCAGTTCTGACCTTGATTTTCCCCTTCCAGAATGCCATGCCTCATCACTTGTGCTATCATGGCACTATTATTTGTCCAAGATGGCTAGAAGTCATTAAGAGATGCTCAAGTACAATGCACATTTTATTCATGATATGATTCCCTTGGACATCAACCTAAAACTACTCTTCATCCTCTACAGTCCTAACAAATTTACATCAAGACTTGGGTTTCTTGGATATCCATAAGTTCAGAGGATAAGAAGAGGTTTTTCTTTTTTCTTTCTTTTTATGAAAAGTTCTTAAAATATGATGTATTTTAACTGTAAAGATTAAGGCGGAGGGTTAAAAATCTTGTTTGATTTAGTGACAATATCTGAAAAAAAAAAAACTAATTCTCCTTCCTTCCTTATCATATTGCCAACTGCTCATAAATACACTTATGTATTACAGATTTTAATGTCTAGGTTTCTGTCACCACATATCATTTAGTACCTAAACTATTCATTTGGAATGAGAAATGAAAAAAAAAAAGATATTATATTAGTAATTATTATCTCTTTCATTGAATATCAATTGTGCTAAATTTAGACTGAGATGATGTGTGCTGCTAACCCATTTCAGGACCAGAAACAAACATGCCCCAAAAGACTGCCCAATGCTTTAGTCACAGCACCATCAGAGGTCCTCTTCAACCTTTGAAGCAATAGCTAAATAATCTACCTTTGTTGTCCCTAAAACTTACTTTACATACTTTATGATATTATGTATTTATAACCAACCCATATATTAAAATTGTCTATGACCTATGCAACCCTCAGGAGCTCTGGTAGCATAGTGCTTAAGGCACTTGACTGCTAACCAGAAGACTGGTGGTTCAAACCCACCAGCCACTGCTCAGAAGGAAGGCTGGGCAATCTACTTCTGTAGTGATACTGCCTCGGCAACCCAAGGAGGGGTCACTATGAGTCAGGGCCAACTTGACGGCACATAACAACAACAACAACAACAACATGCAACCCTGTAATTTTTGCTTTTCAAAATGTCCTTCAGCATTATTGAATTTAATCTGAGGCAATACTTTAATTCAGGAGTTTTAAAAGTAGAATTCAAAGAATTGATCTTTACCTGATTCTCCTGTTCTTTCTGACGTCCAAGCTGAAGACACACTACCAGCCATATTCATAGCTAAGACTCTAAACTCATACTTGGTGTATGGCTCCAAGCCACTGATGATTGTGCTTGTTTGAGGAGGTTGCAGTGCATTTTCATTGGCTGATTCTGTAAATGGGTAAGGACTGAGCCAGCCACTGCTCTGAAAAACTCTCCTTTCTGCAGACATGGTTTCCCCATCATAACTCAATCTTTTCATGTACAGTTCATATCTTATAATTATTCCTAGAAAAATGAAACAGGGAACCAAGTAATTCATTACACAAACTGGTCAATTTTAGGGGGAGGTGGCAGTGGGGCTAGGTCAGTCAAAGAGTGCTGGTTTTTCATTCTTCTTCTGACAATATTACTTGTCTCCTTTCTTTAGTAATCAAGCTAGGTACTTACATAAGACAACCAACTAAAGGATACATGGATTATGAAATACTACTAAGAGGCATACTTGAGGAAAAATCAAATCAAGGGCAAAAGTGTACACACAAAAAATAACTTATGTTTGGTAAATTCAATATTTTTCTGGATGAAGGATCATATATTCTAAGAATGACTAGTTACTTTGGGATATTTGATCATTGTAACTCCAATATATATAATTTCAAATTTGGAGATTATAATTTAACTATCTATTTAGCTTAAGTCTTGTTTAGATAAATGTTAGAATATTATAGTGAATTTGTGAACTTCTATTTAGTTTTATCAGGTAACTTAAAAATGTAAGTAACATTTTCCTTTGATATTTGTATGATATTAAATTACTAAAAATATATGAATGTATCTGGCCTATATAACCAAGAGTTCAACCATCTGAACACAAAAATTAACTTAATGGAGTCAACTAACCTATACATTTTTAAAAATTATTTTACATCCTATTCTTGCTTAAAAGAGAAAATTTACTCCTTTTGGGTGCTTTAATTTGTGACACAGTCAAATATAATGCATTTCATAAGTAAGTGTCAAATTATAAGCATCATTTGCATGGTGGCAGATGTCATTAAGAGCAAAGATAATACTAGCCTTTTAAGGGGCAATTTAATTGAATGGAATTTTTTATTAGATTAAAAGAAATATACTCGTTTCACTAACTGGGACAAACAATAGTTCATGTCTTTAGAAAACTCAATTACTATATCCTGAAGCTATAACCATGAAAACAATTGTCAGACTCTCAGTGTACTATTCCAAACTCCTAGATTCTCATTCATGTTTTTACTCAGGAAGAGTAAATCTGGGCCTCGAATTCCTACCATTTGATTCCAACGGTGGCGACCATTCTATGTGAAGTTCTGTGGAACTGATCTTCCGCACCTCAGGTGGACTTAGCCTTCGGGGAAGGGCCTGGGCTGTGGTCACTGTAATAGGCAAGCTATGCAAACAGCCCCCACTAGTACATGCCTGTACAAAGAAATGGTATGTGGTGAATGGAACCAGATTCCAAATGGTAGCTGAGGTTTCATGACCTTCATAGGAAGCACATGGCTGGGTGCCATCTAGAGGAGCACAGGACAAAACATATTTTTCTATAGGACCAGAATCATTCGAGGGTGTGGTCCAGATAAGTGTCACAGAGTCTGAGCCAATAGGAATGATATAACTTAAGTTCACACTTCCTTGTGGGATTCCTGATTTTGTCCTGTAAGTGACAGTTGCACTCCTGGTTGAACCATGCACATTGGTGGTCTTGATGTAATAGGAATATGAGGTATACGGAGACAGGGTGGTGTCTGAGAAGTATTGAATATCTGAAATTTGAAAAAAGAAGAAAATAGTTACAGTCTACAAATTGGTAAGGAGTCTTTTCTAATTACGTTACTACTATATAATTTAACTACATAAGCTATGCAAATCCATTTTTTGAATAACAGTATTATTTAAATAATGCATATACTGTTTACTTTTATTATTCAGTGTAAAGTAAAACAGAAGTGTCACTTGTAGTAAGGAATATTTAGAAGTTGTTCAAGCTCTTGCTGTCCTCTTTAGATAATATAGTGTCCTTTTTATAGGAGGTGTAAAAGAAAAGTATTGCACTTTTCTGAAACAGAAATAACTGTTTCTTCTGTGTAACTGTTTTATCTGTCAAACACAAATACTATAGACTAGCGTTCTGCAAAATACACCTTATAGGCAGTATCTGTCCCTTGGCGAACACTTTGATAGGAACTTTCCCTGAATTTCTGACCTATGGAAACTGTGAGATTATGCTATTATCATATCAAGACATTAAATTTTTGACACTTTAATTATCAGCAATGGAGAATTTATAAAAGGGTAATTATGGGCAAGCCGTACTTCTATGCATGAAGGATTGTGGGGGGAAAAAAGGAAGATATATGAGGTTTTTGTTTGTTTATTTATTTACCAAAAAAAAAAAAAAAAGGTAAAGAATGGAAATGATCAACTATGTGCCTGAATCTCCCCATTCTCTGAAGGGGGGTGGGGGAAAGAAAAAACTCAAACCCACTGTCATTCAGTCATTCTGACTCATAGAAACCCTTTAGGAAAAAATGTTGTTGTTGTTGTTATGTGCCATCGAGTTGGTCCTGACTCATAGCGACCCCTTCTTGGGTTGCCAAGGCAGTATCACTACAGAAGTAGATTGCCCAACCTTCCTTCCCAGGAGTGGATGGTGGGTTTGAACCACCGGCCTTCTGGTTAGCAGTCAAGTGCCTTAGGCACTTTGCTACCAGAGCTCCCTAGGAAAAAGTAATACTGTCCCGTAGCATTTCCAAGGCTGTAAATTTTATTTATTTATTTTATTGTGATTTGGGTGAATATTTATAGAGTAAATTCACTTTCTATATAGCAGTTCACACACACTTTGTCTCATGACATTGACCACAGTTTACTACAATGCAACAGCTCCTCTCCCACTTCCTCCCCATAGTTCCCTCTTCCCAGTGTCCATCCCTCCATGCACTCCTGTCCCCTGAGCTGCCTCCCTGTGCATAAGCAGCCCTTCTTTCTCTCCAAGGAGTGTAACTACCTGAGGTAAATGTTCAACTTATATGCTTGTATTTTGTTTGGCTGGAAATCACAGTTGTGGGTTCAATTCCAGAACTGAAGAACAGCTAGGGGCCATTGTCTCAGTGGTTCCACCAGGCTCTATCGGACCAGCAAACCTGGCCCCCCACCCCCTTTTTTTTTCCTCCAAGTGATTTTGAGTTTTGTTCCACATTGTTCTCCCTCTCTATCAAGGATCTCCTACATAGATCCCCTTCCAAGTAGATGAAAGTGGTAGCTGGGCACCATCTAGTTCTACTGGTCTCATAGTCATATAGGCTGCAGATCGGATGGTGTACCAGTCACTAGGAGTAATTGTTTCCATGAATTTTGGTTTTCTTCATTCTTCTTTGCTCTGGATGAGGAGAGACCCATCGTTGTACCTAGATGGCAGCTTGCTAGATTTTAAGATCCCAGTTGCTACTCACCAAAGTAGAAGGTAGAACAATGTTTTGTATAGTATGTTATGTCAATTAAGCTTGATGTCCCCTGCGACTATGGTCCCCAGCCCACAGGTTCAAATATATTCGGTCCCTCTGGGTAGCTGGCTGTGACCAAGCAGTGACCACAACCTTGCCCCTTGTCAGCTCTACTATACACCTGGGAATTCTGATCATTCACATAAACTTATAGGACCATTGTCTGCCAACCTTGTACATGATCTTGGATACACTCCCCATTTCATAGACATACCTAATAGTTCAGCCTATCCACCCATGTATCCACCCATATACCCATGCTTGCCTTCACTGACAATGCAAAAGGGTTCATCTTTGTTGTCTGTACCTCCCATGTACCTCTCTATGTCTTTCACATCCTCAATGCTGCCATATTGGTCACTCATATTTGGTACACTGCCCTTCCCTTCACCCAAATCAATACTTATATCTATCCATCTAACAGCATTCCCTCCCCTCCCCTTCCACCCCTGGTAACCCAACAAAGAAAATTTCCTTATAGATAAACTTTTCCAATAATGGACTAATACAATATTTGTCCTTTTGTGATTGACTTATTTCACTCAGCATAATGTCCTCCAAGTTCATCCACCTTATGTGGTGTTTTGCAGGTTCTACATTATTCGTTAGTGTTGCATAGTATTCCATTGTGTGTATGTACCATAGTTTGGTTATCCATTCCTCAGCTGATGGAAACCTAGGTTGTTTCCATTTTTTGGCTATTGTAAATAGTGCTGCGATGAACATGGGTGTGCAAATATCTGTTCTTGTCATGGCTTTCACTTCTTTAGGGTATATACCTAGTAATGGAATGGCTGGGTCAAATGGTATTTCTATTTCCAACTTTTGAAGGAATCGCTATACTGTTTTCCACAATGGTTGTACCATTTTATAGTCCCAACAGCAGTGTATGAAGGTCCAAATCTCTCCACAACCTTGCCAGCATTTGTTATTTTCTGTCTCGTTGAACTTTGCTACTACTACTGGAGCAAGATGGTATCTCGTTGTTTTTATTTGCATCTCTCTAATAGCCAATGATCATGAGCATTTCTTCATATGTTTGTTGGCCGCTTGAGTATCCTCCTTGGTGAAGTGAAGTTATTGAGGTGTTGAAGTTTTCTACAAATTCTAGAGATAAGTCCCTTGTCAGATATGTCATTACCAAATATTTTTTCCCAATCTGTAGGTTCTCTTTTGACTCTTTTGGAGAAGTCTTTGGAAG